TCATCTATCATCTATCTATCTGTCATCTATCATCTATCTATCATCTATCTGTATCTGTCTACCTATCATCTGTCTGTCTGTCTATCTATCATCTATCATCTGTCTGTCTGATCATCTATCTATCTATCTATCATCTATCATCTATCTATCATCTATCTATATCTGTCTACCTATCATCTGTCTGTCTATCTGTCTGTCTGTCTATCTATCATCTATCATCTGTCTGTCTGATCATCTATATTTATCTATCATCATCTCTCTCACCTCTATGAATCTGTTATCTATTTCTATAATGTATCCTGTATCTTCTACTTATCTACCATCTATCTATAATCTATTCTTCATCATCATTATCATCATCTTCATCGTTATCATCATCATTCTTTGAAGATCTATCTATCATCTCTCTCTCTCTCTACCCATTTATCTATCTTTATGTCCATGTTTGTATGTATATATGTATGTATGCATGTATCTATCTGTCTGTCTATCCCTATGTTTGTTTGTTTGTTTATTTATTTATTTATTTATTTATTTATTTATTTTTCTGTCGCCTCAGTTCTGCAGGGGAACCCTGACTAATGTACTTGCTTTTTCTATTCAGTTTCTTTCTAGACTCCAAACATGGGGTGAACAGAAGGGGATCCCTCTGCCATTATGGGGCTGGCCTCCAGCTGAATGGCCAGTGTTCTGACATGGTCAGTGGAGCCCATGGGTCTCAACTAAGGGCCTGTTGGTATAGAAGCCTAGGCCCACATGCAAGATGCCCCATTCTCCTTCTCTTCTCTCTCCTGGAAGAAGAACATTCAGGAAGCAGCTCTTGGCCACATCTGGACTCAGGTCACCCACTAAGGCCATCCCATGCTGGTCCGCCCACTCATTCTGCTTGAGGTTTAACAGGACCTCAGCTCTGACAGCCAACATCACACCTCATCCTGTTTTCCTTTCTTAACACAAATGAAAGTCATTTGTCCTTAGAACATTCTAGATTTGCTAGAGAAAAAAATGACCACTCTCCAGCTGGGATCACACATGGACTTTGATTTCCAGTGAACTCAATGACTCCAAAGTTGAGTCTTTTGAAACAGCTTGTCCTCCAAATGCAGCTTTTTAAAATTAATCTGGGCCAGAATTTCAAACAGCCCTACCAGGCCTCAGGTTGATGCCTGTGAACTTAACTCTGACAACAGACTTCTGAAGCATATCCATAAACAATGGTTCCATAAGCGATGGTTCCATTAGCTTTGTGACAGGATGTGTTAGGACACACAGTGAGGGATTAGAAGTTTGCAGGGGTAAAACCAAGCTTTTCCTTCCAGACCTTTCACAGAGTCTTTCTGGATTTTTTGAAATGTTGTCTTTATAAATTGTAAATTATGTAAATGTTACCACCTTCCATGTTATGGGTGAAAACTATTTAATATTTATCAACTCCATTGTTTTATTTTCTTAAGTTTGTACTTCTATAGAAAATATGATCATGAACTTTCTGATGTAAATAATCACAGAGGTGAAAATTATTGGGTTACCAAAGCTGTGTTCATTGTGACTGAACATTTAAAAGTAGCCTTAAAACTCGTCAAGCTTTAAGGTACCATGTTCTTTATGGGGGTCCAGGAGGGCAATGAAATTTTCTACCAAATAATTTATTGCTTAAGACAAAAGCAATTCTTAGAAATAGGCTAGCAATTAAAATATATTTGGCTTCAATCTAGCAGAGTCTGACTCAGAGATGTGTGAATCTGTGCTAGAGCCTCTTAGGACCCATGGGAAAAATCCCCTTGGCTTCCCTTAGTTCTCTCCAACTGGCTGTGGGAGTCTATCAGGAGGACAGTGAAGAAGGTGGATTTCCTGTGCCAGAGCCTCCCATGCAGGTCTTGTTGACAGGTCTTAACCATGCACTAAGAGCATGGACACGAGTGGTTTCCTTAAAGATCTTGTGTGTGTCTAGCTTGCTAAATGCTGGGGCATCTCCCTAGGAATTGGTGTGGGCATGTTTGTGGGTGCTCTTTGTTCCTAGGGCTCTGCCCTGCTTGGGTGTCAGAGCAGATGATCAGAGGGAAGGGGGTGGGGGTGCCTTCTCTAAGGAGGGGGCATAGTGGCCATTTGCACAGCACCATGTTGGGTGGTAAATTCATCTTCAGCAATGATTATTAACCAGTTATGCCAGGACGATCGGAATTACAAAACGGACATAGTCCTTGTCCTCAAAGAACAGGGTGAGGCTAGAGGGAAAGGCAGGCAGAAAGGAAGTCCACTAAAATGTGTGTCTAAAATAAGGGCCATTAAAGTACTAGGAAAGAAACCGTTATAGTTTGGATTTTAATGTCCCTCAGAGTCCCATATACTGATGGCTTGGTACCTGGCTTGTAGTGCTATAGGCAGGACATAGAACCTTCAGGAAGTGGGGCCTGGTGAAAGGAAGTGAGGTTATTAGGGGCATGCTCTTGAAGGGGACCTCAGGACCTCTGACACTTTTTGATCTCTCTCAATTCCTGACCACCATGATGTGATCAACTCCTACTGCCTTGCCTTGTTTCCGCTATGACACCTTGTCATAGCTGCAAAGCAGCAAGGCTAGTGACCATGAGCAGAAACCTTTCCACCATGAACCCAAATAAACCTTTCCTTCTCACATGTTTCTTCTGCCAAGGAAAGCTGAGTCACTCAGAGATAAGCAAAGGCCAGGAGTCTTCTGATTCCTGAAGAGTTGGGCCAGGTTTTCTGAGGAGGAGCTCTGAAGGCTGTGTCCTCCATGGAAAGGTGTGTGAGGAGGCAGATAGCCTTCCAGTCCCATGGAGCCAGCCAGCTGTATGAAGACTTTCTCAGAAATGATCTTGGTGTGTGTGGCAAGCTGAGCAACAGTTCCCAGGGACATCGGATTCCAGTCCCTGAGAACCTACAGAGCAGGAAAGATCCTGCATATTCTCAGGGGATGGAGAGATGGCCCTGGATTATCTGGTGGGCCCTACACACAATCATAAGTGTCCTTATGAGAGAGACAGGGAGGCGTGACACAATGCATCATGACAGCTGAAGCGGACACCATGTTGCTGGTCTTGAGACTAGAGAGAAAGGTAAAGAGCCAAGGACTGCAGGTCTGGGGGCTTGGAAGGGCAAGGAACCAGATTCTCCCCACAGCCCACTCTGGACTTACAGCTTCAGGACTGGAGGGATGATTTGTCATTTTAGCCCCCAGGCTTGTGTAGTTTGCTCTAGGAAATGAATACAGTCAGCTTGGCATGAGCCAAGGGGAGGATGTCACTAGGTGGGTTTGCAGAGGTAGGTAGGGCCAGTTTTTAATGGCCATGGTCAAGGTCAAGAATTTAGTCTTGACCACAGAATAAAGTCAGCTATGGTAGCACATGCCTGTGCCTTCTTGGTGTGGACTCCTCATGTGTGTTCGCCTCTTTCACCCTTCTAGAGTTTTGGATCTTGAATGTTCCCCACAGTCCCATGTGTTAAAGGCCCAGTGGCCAGTCTAAGGCACTCTTGGCAGGTGATGAAACCTTTAAGAGTTGTAGCATAGTGGGGCATCTTTTGGTCATTCATGGTTGTGCCATTGGAAGAAATACTGAGGCCCCAGCCCCTCCCCTTGTCTCTCTGCTTCCTGACTACCAAAGGTGAGTGATATCCACCCTAGGATAGTGTGGCACCTGTCCTATCATAGGCTCAAAGCAGTTGGTCCAAGCAATCATGAAATCTCTGAAACTATGCTCTTAAAACCAAACTTCGTGGTGGCGCACGCCTTTAATCCCAGCACTCGGGAGGCAGAGGCAGGTGGATCTCTGTGAGTTCAAGGCCAGCCTGGTCTCCATAGTGAATCCAGGACAGCTGGGGCTACAGGGAGACCCTGTCTCAAAAAGACAAAAAACAAACAAAAAAACCCAAAACCAAACTTCCTTAAGAAATTGATTTTTTCAGGTGCTTTGTCACAGCAACAGAAGCTGATATACTTTCCCTGGAGTATCAATTCCTTCAGAACAGAGGACAAGCTCACTAAGATGCCCCTAGTCTAGAAAGGAACCTGGCACATAATAGACACTCAATAAACATTCTTCAGCTAAGTGAAGAACACACTGTATTTAATGGGAGCAGAAATCAAAGCTGGGACAGATTATAAGAATGATTCTCATTCTGTCTGGCATTGCTAGAGCTTCCTTCCCAAGGGAGGAAGGCTGTGCTGGACCTGACTGTGCCTAGTGTGCCCACTGCCTCAAATAGGATTCCAGAAAATGGCACAAAGTTCTCAGTGAAGAGGACTAAGCCTTTTCCCCTGGTGTGTGCTTTTAGAATCACAGAGACATCACTCATCACTGATAACAGCTCAAAGAGGGGAGACGGATTCAGCTGGGTTAGGTTAAAGATGATTAAAGAAATCCTTTTTATCTCATTGAAAAGAATTTTTAGGTGGCTAGAGTAAAAGCTCTCAGGCAGAATGCTCAGGTGTGCCTGGAGTCCCCTCCCCACAGGTAAGCATGTTCGTGATGGAGGAACTCTTCATCCATGATTGAAGCTGCATGCTGGGCTGTGGCAAAAGCGATGGTGCCTTGTCCTTGCCTGCAGGTGTCCGGTTCAGGTTGTCTCTTGGCTCAGAGCTCGTTCTGAATGTCATGTTCACTAGATTGATGGGAGTCCAACTGGAATCATGAAGGCAGGTGAATGACTGGAAGTCACCATTCATTTTGAAGGGGGAAAGGCAGAGGACTGAGAGGACTGCAGGGAGGTGGGGATACTAGACATCCACTTTGATGTGGAGTCAGTGATGAGTATGAAATAAACATGGGACTTAGTGGGGCCTCGGATAGCCCCTGGGAATCATAGAGCATGGTCTATCCCATGGCCATGCCACCACTACTGGAAAGGTTTCCATTCTGTGTGACTCTGTCATAGCTCCTACCAGGCTTTCTGGAATTTACCAATGCCTGGGGAGAGGGCTCCATTCAATTCAGTTGGTGGTGTTGGGTTCCTGCTTGTGTAATAAGAGAACTGGGTAAGAGAGTTTCAAATCACTTTCACTACCAGGCTAAAAACCCTTCAAGGCGTCCCACCACTCTAGGGAGAAGCTTCTGCTGACCATGATGAAGTGTGTCATGCTGTCAGTGCCTGGCCCTTCTCTGTTCCTTTACCATGTTGTACTGGATAGCGTCAGTGTCAACTTGACACACCTGGGTTGAGGGAGCCTCAATTGGGGAATTTCCTCTATTGGACTGGTCTGTTGCCCAGATGTCTGAGGGACATCTTCTTGATGAGTGATGTGGGAGCCCACTGTGGGTGGTGCCACCCCTGGGCAAGTGGGCCTGTGTTGTATAAGAAAGCAGGCTGAGCAGGGGCCAGGGGAGCAAGCCAGAGTAAGCAGCATTCCTCCATGGCCTGTGCTCCAGCTCCTGCCTCCAGGTTCCTGGATGTCTCAGTAGTCCCAATCTGGCACTGAAGGTCTGACAAATTCCAAAAGATCAGCTAGTCTTCAGTCTACAGCAGAAAGACGAACTCACCAGTGAGAGAGAAGGCAAGCAGCAAGAAGCCAGGCGTTCTCCTCTGCCGTGGCCTTTAATACCATACCAGCTGCCATCAGAAGGTAACAACCACATTTAGGGTGTGTCTTCCAGCTTCAGATGATCCAATCAAGAAGATCTCTCTCATTTCAGTTAATCCCAGATCCAGTCAAGTTGACACCCAGGATTAGCCATCACAAGTCCACCCCTTGTCAACTTGACACCCAATAGCATCTCTCTATGTCATGCTTAATTTTCAAATGAAAACAATGTTGAGGTCATAATTCACCTAACATAATATTATATCATAGAGTAGGTGATAAGATCTTCAAGGAATGCTTAGTCCTTTAGGATCTCATAACCCAATATGGTCATATAGGTTCACAACACTTAACCACTTAACACTTATCTCAATCACACATTCAAAAAAGAATAACACAAATATCTGCTTAACATATGTGTATACATGCACAAGCTTATTCTTAACCAAATAGGACAAAGATACTCATGTCAATTACAATCCACATCTCTGCAACTGGTCATGTGGCCTAAGTTAGTACTTGTAACTACCTTCCTCTATGACCCATTCTGTATTTCCTCCACCATCAGCAAGCACCTCTGCAGGTCTTGGCTCTTTTCCTGGAGGAGAGACCCTTACTTTCATCCCTGAAGGGTCTGGGCCATTTGTTGTCCTGTCTGGATTGGGTTGTTGCAGTTTCCCATTGACCTTAATCACAGGACGTGGTAACACCAAAAGTCGCCCTAAGGAATCTCCTGCCTTCCAGAGATAATCTTCATTACCTCCATTGTGGAGAACCAGTCCAATTTCCCCCTGGTAGTCTGGGTCAATCACCCCTCCTAATACTGATATCCCTTTCTTAGCCTGCTGACTTAAGGGGATCGGAAGCCCAAAGTGTCCAGGGAGAAGTCTTAGCTTCCAGTTCAACAGAATGTTTGTTGTCTTTCCTGGCAGAAGCACTCCCTCCTCTGGAACCAAAACATCCAAGCCAGTAGAGTGCAAAGT